AAAAGAAGATACCGAACGCGAAATCAGAACTTTAAGAGATGGTCTCCGCCTTCTTAACAACCAGTTAGAAAAGGTTGGTGTAAAAACATCTTAAAACATCCTCCTGAAAAACTCTTCGGTTGTTTAAAAACTGATATTTAAAGAAATCTTGAAGAAATGATAGATATGAACCTTCGTACCTAAAGGAATACAGCTATTTATCAGCCTCTAACATTTTGAATTCATTGACTTCACAAACCTTCGGAACAGATCATGATGCTCATATTCAAGATAAGACACCTTGGAATTTACTTGAAATTTTCTTGTATTTAGGCTCCTTGCTAAGTTGGGATAAGGTAAACAAATTAAAAACGCTAATACTGAAAGGGTAAATACACATATTTTTGTATTGGTATAAAATAATTGATAAGATTTTTCGTAAGATGTAGGACAGCAAATTAAAATCTGCATTGAATTTTGTTGTTAAAGTACAAGAAGATGAGAGAAACAATACCTAATAGTGCGTCCTCTGGGAAAGGAAAGGTAACAGCTCTACCACACACAAACACAAACTAAAATAAACAGTAGAAACTAAGTTTAAAGCGTTTAACAGCAAACACAGAATAGCCAATAAGTAAACTACCGTACAATACGTGACATTTATTAAAGGGGATATGGTTTTCTTTTCAACTTTTCTTACTTTAAATTCGTAATGAGTGTAAAGATTAAGAGCAGAAAATGTTTAGTCGTCAAAACGCACTAGTCTATACACTTGCCAAACGAAGTATTATTGTGCAGCCGACCATGGTTCCCCCATTCCTCTCACTTATTTTATCCATACGAACTCTGCTTATTTGCCAAAAGGATGTTCATCTTGAGGTAAGGTCAGTTGCATCTTGAGGTCAATTCCGGCTTTGAATGAGATGTTGTCGTCACTAACAACTCTAGCGTGCAGAGGTCCGGTTGTAAACGTTGACTGGTTTCTTTGTGTTGTTTTATGGGGTAAGTTGTAGATCCATGTACTCTCTCAGTCAAGGAATCTTGAGAAAAGGCCTTGTACAGTTATCCTATGAAGAGGGAGCAATAATAATTTAGTTGCGTATTTCAGTTGTATGGTCCACTTGGCTTGTCTGACTCCTGCTTTTCTTAATTTCTTTGTGTGTGTGTGCTTTGCAGGATGGTGATGCGCTCAGTGCTTTAAGGAGCATGCTTACTGAACTACAAGGAGAACAGGAAAAACTAAACAGTACAACTAAAGAACTTATAGAGGAACATAACAGGAAACAGAAACATATTGACGTGAGTTGCAGCAACCCCAACGCCATGGACTTAAGAAAAAAAAGGAACATGTTTAGTTATTTTAATAAACTTTTTAACCGGACTTGGAGTGTCTGAGGTTCATCAGTAGAGTATCAGTGGTATCTCTCAACGCTTCTCTGTTTTACTTTCCTCTCCCTGTCAAGTTTAAACTCTATATACTGATGTTTGTATTTAACAGGCCTTGTACACGTATGCTGACAGACTGCAAGAGGTCAAAGCTGACAAAGAACAGGTTGCAATGGAAATGGATGTGGTATGAAGACCCTTTCTCGTGATATCAGTTTGTTAATTGTTTGTTGAATTGTGTGGCAACAGGCGTCTCTTTCAGGGAGGTTTTACTTACCAGAGCGTGGAGCAGCAAGTCTAAAAAATTACTTAACATTATTATTCAGTTTTTTAACTTATACATGATTTTCCAGCTAGCGTTCAGTTACCGTTGTTGATGAAAATAAGGATGTTATGTGTTACTAGATATTCAACTAAGGTTTTGAATATACTTTTACAGAAAGCTGATAAACGTGCATTGGATAACTTGATTAGTCGGAGCAAATTTGACCAGAGTATAGGTGGTTTGGAACAGTCAATGCAGGAGCTTTTACATAGATTAGATGGACAGGTGGGTTCTACAAGACACAAATTTCTGTACCACCTAAGATTCAACTTGTTCTTTGACTCGCCATTTATCGTTTCCAGTTCACTGCTTATAAGTGAAAACCTAGATATGGTCTGGAAATACCATCAAACAAATCTTAAAAAAATTTTGAAACCTCGGGATATAGCAGTATATTATTGGGGAACTTTGGAGTATTTTCATTACTGAGTATCTTACATTTTGCAGGAATCATCATTAAGCGATGCCTTGGCTCGACTTGCAGGCGACATTGATCAGAAACTTGATAGATTGGAGCTGGATCCACTGAAGGATTACTTCGGTAATAAGTGACTTCCCCGTGCAGTCACAGAATATTTTACCTGTTCTCAACTGAAATATTTTATTCCTCCTCTATTTTCTTAGAAAAGAAGATTAAAAACATGAAGTGTAAACACGTTGATTTACCTTTATCCGATGATCCAGCTGCTGGATTCCGCAAGTAAGTTACTGTAGTTCAGAGTCCATGGCATAATTTTTCACCAAAATTCTAAGTCAACAATTATAATATCCTACCCGTATGCATTATTTGATATGTTCGGGTTGGTTTTACTCACGATGACTTTGTTCTACAGGGCTTTGCTTAGATTTCACTGTATTTCCTGTGACAGACCAGTTGACATGATACCTGGCCAGTAAGTGACTGTTTGTTTTTTGCTATTTGAATTATTTTCGTTAGTTAATAAGAGTGAGAGGTAAATCCGAAAAAAGTAATATGAAATAGTCAGTTGGTTTGTAACACTTACCTGCACTTGAAAGTGACGAGGGTATGTAGACCATGAGGGGCTAACCTTTCTATGTTCGTCCCACTGTTACCGGTTTTATTTCTAACTAAAGCTGCTTTTACCTTTAGCCCCAATCCAGCTCTTCCCCAGACTCCTGGTCTTCCTCCATCCCGTTCAGGCCGCCCTTACACTACTTTTGAACTTGATCAGATACGTCAGATGCATCGAGGGTAAGTACACATATCGGTGTGGTAAAATAATGTTTGCTTAGCGACACTGAGGATAACATGTGGTTGGATGGAAGTGCAGTTGTTTTGTGATTGCCACAGAAGGTGAACCTGCAGTTTTTTCGTCGAAAAGGTGAAAATTTTTAGGTGACCGTTTCCTTTATTTTGAGGGAAGGAGACTGCACAACTTGTAAAACAACAGTGGCAAGCCTTCCAATGTGGTTCGATAATTTGGCGGGTTTACTGGTTGACCAAGTGAATCCATTTGAATGTATGCGGTATTTATGGACTCAAATTTGTGCAGAATGACTGATATCCGTACTTTATCCACAATTGTAGCGAATCTTTTAACGTAAACTTGAAATCTGTCATTCAACACCTTTGGCTCGATAGACAAATTTAGACTCATCTCATTGCTTCATCATCAAAATAGTTTTAACAATCAACTTTTACATTCTCGAAACCAGGACATTGCTTTGTATTTCAACCAAATAGTGTTATACATTGAAATGATACAAGACGACTGCTTCTTTTTTTATCAGGCGAATTGTAATCCTATGATAGTTAGGGGCCTTGTCTTTTTATTTAGGAGCCATCTACTGAATCATAAGAGATGGGGGGAAGGTGTTGTAGCGCTGTTTGACTGCTCGATCATGTAGTTTTCTCGTCACTGAAAGACGTACTTTATTTAGCGAGGGTAAACACTTTAAAGTCACAGACTGACAAACCCTTGGCCCCTCCCTGGATTACATGAATTGGTAAAGTTAACATATTATTAAAAACACTACAAGTCCATTCCAATCTATCATTCACTCCGTAAATGCGTTTCATTAACCAGCAAAGTATTTAGTTGGTTTTGTAACTGTAACACCAATATTTGTACACAGTGGGTACACTTACGAGCAAGAAGTAGCCACAACAACAGCTCGAGCATGTGGAGGAAGTCATACAGTGACCTTTCCACACAGAAGGACGGCCAGATTCAAGTGAGTTTCTTACGAGCTCCCTTCTGGTGCATCTTGAATTGTTGTTATGGATTTGTATTCAAAGTTTATTTATATCAGTGTCCATTTCGTCAGTTGTTATGTAAGCTGCTCAAAACAAAATGGCGTGGGGTAGAATAAAGTTGTGTCGGTTTAAGACAAAAGAAAACCGGTTTTTAATTGTTATTGCTTTCAGCCAATACTATTACTACAGGGAAGATGACACACCAGTTCCAATTCCTCCGAGGTAAGAGAAATGCTTTTCAAAGAAGCATATTTTGATCCATCTTAAAGTGATTATTTCTGTTTAGTATTTTGTGTTTGCAGTGCGAATCAACAAGGTTGAACGTCTTGTTCTTCATTTTAAGGGATGAAACAGAGCTGATTGGTCAGGATGGACATATCTACAAAGGACGTTTTGATGGAAACATGGTTGGAGTGGCTGAGTTGCCACCGGTTTGTGAATTTTGTTGTCATAAAAAGTTCTGTAGAAAAGGTTAACTGATCAATCATTTTCTTTCTTCTGATAATCAAACGAAATAACCTAGCGTGGTCAGAAAGGATGGGTTTCTCTTTTCTCATCTGCCAATGAATGAAACTTTTGTTGTCTCCAGTTTGGTGGTTAATTGTACTTGATCAATTGTACTTGACCTGACTGCCACCAATCAACCCTTTATTGTAGGTTAATTGGCTCTTGCAAGACCAACTGTCCGATTTGACTTGTTTTAGTTTTTTTTTTTCTCTCATAAACAGCTTGTAAACGTGCTGGTCAAACAGCTCAACAGCTAATAAAAACAACTACGCTAATGCCGCCAGCCAATCAGATTTAACCACCTGTCAGTGATAACGCATAGATACTAAGGAAACATTTCGAGAAAGCCCTGTGCTCAGTACTTTTTCCTCTCAGCAGAACCCTAAGTCTCCAAGAGCCATGTCGGCGAAAAGAGCTTCTAGTCCCCAGCCTCCTCGCAATGGCAGTCCAATTACTAGGCGTCCTCGGTCTGCTGCGGTGCCAACTTCACCAAGGAACCAAAAGGAGGAGGAGGTGGAGCCTGCGAGGGTTGTTGTACCGTGAAAACAAGATGGAAAATCTATGTTATTAATATAAATTGCGATATTTAATTCGAAGACGGGACGGAGGATTTGTACACAGAAACCAAGTCTTAGCCTGTCTACGTGATCGGCTTTTTGATTTTATGAAAATTTTGATTAAGTCTTCAACAACAAAGAAAAAAGAAATGGTATTCGACCATCTGTATGTATTGTTATAGATCTATTTATAACAAAGTGAATTACATTGCGTATTGCGGAACGGATCTGTTCTCAGCTGAAAGAATAGTGACGAGCGTTAAAGCAGTTCTTTTCCCTTTCATCAAAAGACATACGTAGTAGTTAATAAGTTATTTGTATTGGGTAGTCAGCATGAGAAGATGCTGCATGGACAATATTCGCACTCAATCCAAACACACGTGATTATTGTTTAAATCTCAATGAAGTTGCGTTTTTAAATATGATGTAAATAAAGAAGCACCGACTAAAACAAAAAAAATTAAAAAAAAAAAAAAAAAGAATTTCAAAAGTACGCTATCCCATCTCCTGAAAGTCCTGAATTCAACCGAAATTCAACCGAATTTCAGTTGTCTTCTTTCGATTCTTCTCTGACTCGATTCTTCTCTGACCAGATTCTTCTCTTGTCAGGGCAAAGTGAAAACCGACAAACCACGTCAAGCACAGTAATCAATCATGTGATTGTACTGAATAAACCTGTCAATACTAAAATTTCGTAATAGGCTCAGTGTTTTGTGGTTCTATGGTTTATTTTACAACTGCTTAATCTGAGGGTTCTATCGTTAAAGGGGTCGTTGAAGGGTCTGAAACCTAGATATTATTTCCCTGTGAAAGCCTCTTACCGACTGATTTTTTTCAATAAGAGATAAAAAATACGAAACTTTCTTTTAAAAAAGTAAAAGGCAAAGTCAGCGTTTTACTAAGTACGAAGGGCTAACGCTCGAAGCGTCAGCTTTGAAACTCTTTACGGTAGCCAATTAGCGTTATTAACTCAGTTGATAATATCAAATTACCCAGTTTCACCAAGCACCACTGGTTCAAATACCGGTGTTACACATTCATAGGCAATGCGACGACCATAACTAATTTTTTTACTTGATGTTGAATGACTGTCAAAGTGATTTTGAACATAGCTTCATTGCATCAAGACCACACTTAACTAATGTAAATTGTGTGATCGACTTTATTTATTAATTTTTTTGTCTTCTTCTGCCACATATCTCTCCAAACTTAGTCAGCGATCATCTGGCTCTTTCCCGAGGATAGACGCCTAATGCAGGTTTAACTGTTACGCAAATTCCGGGTTACTCGCTGGATTGGGTTACAACTCGCCTCCACGAAGATTTACCCACACTAGTACTGTTTCGTGGACCATTGACGGCTTTAGTGTACAAGCGGGTGCCGCTTAGAATCTTTTTGACTGCTTTTTTTACACTTTCCTTTTTTTCTTCCGAGATTTTATCAGAAGTGTTGTCGCTTTCCATAACTGTTTCATTATGATTTGATTCACCGTTGATCTTGCTTATGTAATTCACATTTCTTGTAACTTCATCCGACGCTACTACGTCTTTATTCTCCTTAGCAGGCGTAGAAGAAACCGTCTTTGGTGACACTCCATTTTGTTGTGCTGATCTCTGCGCCCCAATAATTCTTGGCGCTGAAAACTTCACAATATTCACGTCTGCCGTCACTCTAGTTGCGTTAAGCTTTTCAGGAAGCCTTCCATTTCTGTCACTGGTGTTCATTGATGAGAATGTTTTACCAAATCCTGACATTGATAGAGATTCTCTGACAAAGTCCAAAGGAACGCGGCCCAGTACACCATCAAAGCGATTTTTCGTAACCTTTAGAAAATGAAAAACGAGAGAAATATCAGACATCTGTAAAATATAACAGCGATTCTCTAGTTAAACGGTTTGTCTGCCATAGGTGGAGTTTAGTACAAGTATCACATCCTTACTGTTCACCCACAAACAAACGACGATGTGCTGAGCTACGAGAGAAAGTGGCTTGCGATTACAATTTTATTTTCAAGACATTATTGGTTTACCGCGAGGGAAAAAGGTTATAGGTATATAGAGAAACTTAATACTGGAAATACTGTCTGTTTTCCGTGAGAAAAGTATCATTAAGGATAATGAGACTAAAAAGAGTTAAGGAATGTAGATGTATTCCACTATGAGCTAATAACATTAAGGGGACGAAAGAAATTATACATCATTTGTGCACTCCACACCAAGTTACCTTGGACCCTAGTGTGTTATCTTGACGAATTTGAGCCTAAAAGTTGAAAATCTGACATAAACTTGGGTAAAAGGAAGCCTTGTTTAAAAACACGAACAACAAGTACTACCACTGGTCACGTAATTGTAACTGCTCTGCAAACGAAAATTTTGTTATGACACCAGTAAAAGCCAGCCGCCATTAGTGGTAACACGGCTGATGATAACTGAGGACCAAACGGAGCACATATTATAATATTATAATAATATTATATTATTATATATTGACTTTGTTCAATATGCACTTCAGGCATGAAAAACAACAACAACTGAACACTACGAACGTCTACATTGACACGTCTACGTTGACATTCATAACGTTTTTCTTTGTTCCTCTGACATACAATTTTTATGAAGATGATAAATTCACTTGTACAACGTTAACCTGAAGATATTTATTAGCTGCTCCTTTCTTGCTCTGAAGAATGACCACATTGTCTGCTTCTTGACTGGCTTTTGCTGTACCGAAGATGGACGCTGTTTGCAGTTCAACATCATCATTTTCCTATGGACGACAGTGTGGATGTTTGTAAACTTTATGATGAACATATTTTAAAACAATTAGTATAACAATTAGTATAACCAAAAGTTGTATTTACATCTAAAGTAACAATGTAACAATCTGTGTTGCTGTTTGTCAAAAAACAAGCAAAAGGAATTTTGCCATAAAGTCAAGCATCTACCCAAACAATTAAGCGAAGCATATCCTTGAAAACATTTGAAAAGAAGGAATCAGATGAAATAGTGGTAACCATGCTATACATGTACACTGTAGCACCGTGATAACAAAAAAACCCTACAGCGAGGACTTGTATTCCTGGGCCATTTGACACTACTTGACACTTGACGTTAAGGAATTTCAATCACAACTCTTAATCACCATCTATGAATGCATTTTCATTCTGCTATGAATTAAAAAATGGCAATGCAATTTATGACTGTTTCATTTCAGAGTACAGTCAATTACTTCTTCACTTTTTTGGGGGGAACATGGGAGGAAAAGTCACAGTCCCACCAGCCAAATTCAAGGAGAAAGCAGGTGTGCCTATGAACATGTTTGGACCGCGTCAGTGCATAGCAAACCTTTCTTGGATGGATGACCAAAGTGACATGTACATTCCTGGTGCTAGCAAAATTCCTCAGTGCTGAGATCACGTGATTCTGAGCCGAAAATCGGTCGTCCCCACGGCTAATAGGAAATGACAAAAAAAAAAGAAAAAGGTTTAACTGGCAACGAGTAATGGTAACTTTATCCATCATATTAACACTGCAAGAGTTATAGTTCAACTAACGTAAAATTCTTAGCCTGAAGTTCTGTGACCGGTAATTTTTGTTAATTTCTTCGCGGCATCCTTAGCCACACGTTGCCTTTCAATTTTGATATTTGTCGGCATTCTCTAATCGAGAATTTTAAGCAACCAAGGAAAACACAAAATATGGTGATATTGTATAGTGTGTCATTTTGTGTAATTTGGAGTCCTGTGTGTGTGAGCATAAGCGCTTCAGATTCGTGATTCATTAGTAGCAAGGTCGACTTCTGCACCATAAGAGTCAATCGTCAACTGTTGTGCTTCTTGCCGGTTGAGCCGAGTTTGTAAACATGTAACACTTGAATTGTGTTATTTGTTTGCCTTAATTTGGGTGGGGTCAAAGGAAATCAGGGAGGGTTATTGAGTACATTTCCATGTTTAATACTAGAGACATACAGATTTACGTCCAATATACCTTAGATATGAGGTCATAAACTGTAGATTGTCGACGATGACGTGTTCGATGTCATACACATAAGCAGCATGACTCATGGTCTAACAAACCAGAAAATAATCGGTTATAATCATCTTCAAAGTAAAATACACTGCTGATAATTGACTACTTGAAATATTTATAATAAACATTACTTACTTCGATGACAGTGTTAATGTTCTGAGCTCCGTAGAAACACATGAAGTACATTGGTAACATCTCAAACTTGTCTGCCCAGTAATGAAACTGCTCAACGTTTCTCTCTAAATTCAATCTGAATACAAAATAAATGCACGAAAAGTTCTATTACCATAGTCATTACTTACTTCAGCTGTCTCTATTTCACTTATTTACAGCTTCATGTGCATGTGGTTTGTAAAAGTGGACTTACAACCAACGAAATGTACCGACTAAAATAGATTAAACGAAATCATTTTATCCCACTTAATCATTTTCTTAAGACATCGACATTTTAACATCGTTATGATATTCAGTTGTGACCTAATGAGGTTTGATTGTTTTATACTAAACAAACGTGAACCATATCCTTTCAACTTACCCCGAATACTGACACATCATCATTTTCACAAGGCGTACATTACGAATCTCAAAACTTCCCCAAAGCGTGTTCACCTGGTATTGAAAAACGACACTCAAAACAAAGAGAAAACATGTTAAATTACCCCAACATCCGAGCGTGATGAAGGGTAACCTGCGTTAAATATGATGATGATGCCAGTATTAATGACGATGACATCTATGTTTGATAGTTCTCTACATACATATGTTTGTGTCCTTCATGGTATGTAAGCATTAAGTACTTAAATAATACAGCATTTAATTAGTAATAAAATGACACAACCAGTGCCTCTTTGATCGCTCTCCATCAAACGCTTGTCGCTGAGTAATCAAGTCGAGCTACGATCGTTCACAGGCAGCTGTACTCCACTTATGTCATGAACTGTTATCTAACTGTATTTTTTTATTTCCCTTGTTGTTAAATTGACACGTTAGCATCTAACGCACCTTTGGTTTTCCTTTATGTCTTAATTTTAAGGTTAGTGTCTCGAGAACTGTTGGTTTCCTATGTTGTCTGATTGTTATGTTAGTATCTGACGCACTATTGGATTTCCTTGTTGTCCGATTGTTACGTTAGTATCTCGCGCCCTTATGGTTCTCTAAGTTAGTGTCCCGCGCACTTTGATTTCCCTTGTTGTCCAATTGTAATGTTAGCATTTCGCGCAGTTTTGGTTTCCCTTCCAATCCGATGGTCACGTCAGAATCTCGGGCACTTTTGGTTTTTCTTGCTGTTTGATTGTTACGTCTGTACCTGGCGCACTTTTGGGAATTTCTTTTTATCCGATTGTTACGTTGACATCTTGCGCACTTTCGTTTTTTTTTTCTTGTGATTCTATTGTTACGTTATTATCATGCATATTTTTGGTTTTTTTTCGTTTCCGATTGTTACGTTAGTATCTCGCGCCCTTTTAGTTTTCCCTGATTTCCCACGGTTGCGTCAGTATCTCGCGCACTTTTGGTTTTCCTTGTTGTACGATCGTTACGTTAGTGTCTAGAGCACATTTGGTTTTTCTTTCTGTCCGATTTTCACCTTAGTATCTCGCGCACTATTGGTTTTTTTTGCTGTCCGGTTGTAACGTTAGTGCGTTGCGGACTTTTGGTTTATCTTGCTGTTTGATTGTTCCTTTTTTGCTGGCGTACTTTGAGGACTTCCGTGGTGTTCGATTGTTTCGTTTGCATCTCGCACACTTTTGGTTTTTCTTGTTAGTGTCCCGAGCACTGTTGGTCTTTGTGTCTCGTGCGTAGCAACTATACACGTCGCAATCTCTTACCGCTCGTGCAAGGTGCTTCATATAGGACGAAAAATGACGTAATGCTGTTGTGGTTTCTGTGAAGTTTACCCCACGTGACAAGCTACATGATGTAAGCGATCATCGCGTAATATAAATATGAAAAGAATGCGTAACCATGTTGATATTTAGTCGTAAGATCTGTCGGAAATCCTTATTTAGTGAGTAAAACGCCTTGAGCAAACAGAGGGATCTTCGGGACCAATTTAAATCGAAAAAGCAAACGTTACGAGAAAGCTTATCGTCGTAGAAAACCATGCGTTTTGTAGACTGTCTTGTCTCAAGGAGGGCCTGAGGTGGCGAAGCAAGGTTATTTCGGTAGGTAAACCAGTCTTTTCGAAGTTATCAATACAGAATAGACTTCCAGTCAAACGCGCTCACATTTTACCTACGTAATTGACCTTTTGTATTTTACTCATCGTCACTTTTCTTCAATCAATACGTGGTCAGCGGTACACGCCCAATATGTAAGTTAATAGATTTTACGACGTTATTTCCAGCACGAAGATCTACCCTCCTGATAAAAAAAAAATTTAAAAAAATACTGCACAATTGGTATTTTACTTTCGATTTAACTTGTAGATCTTTGTGTTTGTTTAGTCTCCATTTCATAATATTGTAACGCCCCATATAGGATCGAAATGTCGTTGCAAATTGTACCAAATTGAATCTATCTTTGTTCTACAGAGATAGATTCAATGTTCTCGTGTTGACATCTGTGCGTATATTTCGTACCTCAATTTCCAAAAACTGATATCATATTAAAATTGTATTTGCTATTGTATTTGCTTAAATATTTTCCATGCTCTTGGGTAGTATGAAGCGACTCCTTTGTTCTGATTGGCTACCCGAGGAGATGGGCCCTTCTCGCCCGCTTGGGATTGCACGCTTTGATCCCCCGTAGGAAAAAAACCCATACAACAGACTTACAAAGTTCGTAATTTTTTGGACAATGTCGGTAAAGGAGTAAAAAAAAAAAAAAAAAAAGCTGAAGATAGCCAAGGTAATGAAGACATAAACGACTGTCCTTGGTTTACTGTGCTAAAAAATACAGTAGGCTTTCTTTCCTGGCTCTCGAAACAAAAGGCATTATTGATTCCTAATAAAGCGAAATCTTTCTGCTTTATAATAAATCTTTTATTGACCAAGCTTATCCGGTCAAGATGGCTAATTATTAGTCTTAATCCTTTTTTTTAGCGTTTTCTCGACTTCGACTTCCTCGACTTCGTTGCGGTCCATAAAAACAACAACAAGAACAAGAACTCGGCCATATCCTACTATATTGCTTGTTCTCCGACTGTTACGATACTATCTGGCACACGTTTAGTTTTCTTTTCTTTTTGTATGTATTTTAGGCTTGTATCTGTACAAAATAACTACCTTACATGTTTATTTAGTTGGCTCACGCCAACTTGTTGTTTGAGAGTATTGTTCGTTGTTAAACTCACCCCCTGCATACAGAGATCAAGTGACATTTCACTTAATAAAGTTGTTTTTCCTGCTCCAGTGGGCCCTGTAAACACTGTCACTTCTCCTCGCCGTAGACCTTTCAGAATGTTGTTTAATTTTGGAAATCTCTTCCACTATAAATAAATTAATGAAATATTCTTTATCATCCACTTTTCAAGTATTCAACAGAACTACCGACTGTAACTTAAAATGCAAAGAAAGCTACAAACCTTCACTCCGGCGACTTGCTCAGCATTAACAAACTGATCAAAAACTTCACTCCTCAGCTAAAAACAAAATATTGAAAGAGCCCATATGCAGGGCATTTAAGATGGTAAAAAAACAACTTTGAAAAGATTGAAAATACGCATTACCTGTATGAAGAATTACTAGTAGAATTACTTGTAGAATTACAGTACTGACCAATACTAATAGCTTTACTTTACACCTTAAAACTAGAGGACTGGTATCAAAGGAATATTTGCTAAAATTATATCTACCCAAGACAGACCTGGTGGAAAGTAGTGATTTTTTCATGGCTGATTGGTTGAGCAGCAGAAATTAATGATGTGAGATCATAACCCTAAAAAGAAAGAAAAAAGATAACATCAGGGTTAAACAAAAGTATGACCCTTGCAATTTGAAGCATCGTGTATGCAAATTATGTAAATACCTATAGATATATAAAAACTATTATCAACCTATGAAAAGATGTTAAGATTTCTTAAAGTAATAGATTCCCACATGAAAAATGGCAGAGAGACCAAATAATGGATAATCTACACAAAAATGAGTGAATATACACTGTGCACATACAATCTGCCTCAACTTCAACATACCAAATTTAAAGCATCTAAGGCATTTGCTGGAGATTTGTCATCATTTGGCCTGCAAGGAAATTAAACAACTCAACGCAATTTTTTTGACAAAGTGAATTGTTTAAACATCTTAATGGAACCAGATAAATAGTCTGCTTGAGAGTGGTTTTGTTAAGACAAATTTATACATAGCTGAGACCATCAAGCTGAGTAATTCATATGGAGGGTGTGCAATAATTACAAGTTTGACTATTTGAAAGTTAAAATACTATTTCAAACTTTCAATTTATTCTTAGTTCACTTTCAACAACTGGTTGCCCTGAAGATCAACAGAGTTATTTTTTAAAAAGCATTTATGGTCACAAGTCCCAAAAAATTACTCCTGCGTGTTTATTTGTGGCATGAAAGTAATAAGATATAAAAGTGATCTAACAACTGAACCAAAACATAATGCAAATTTATCAAATATCAAAGAGGGGATGACAGATGGATTATTGAGTTAACTATCTTTACTGGTGAGGGAAGAACAGTAACATGGAGAAGCAAATTGCTGTGAACTTTCTGTAAATTTTGGATTGTTCTTTCTAAAACACCAATTTCTTTTCTCTCAAACAGGAACAAGTACCTGACTAGGAAACACCTTTTCAAGTTTAACTTCTTTGAAAACTGATTGGCTGCATGCCGAGAGAAAACATCATTTCCAAACCAAAGAACAATCTTCTCAAATTGTTCAAGTTGTGGTAGAACCTAAAGACACAAACATTCACATCAGCATGCAACGAGCAAAATTATTTGTACATGTAGCATACCACTTGCATTTACGAAAGGCTCTTTCTATTTTAGCAACTCTTACTGTAATCTCCAAACACTAGAAAATTCAGTTTCTGGTTACACCATAAACCTGGGTCATAATAAGTAATACATAATTAAGTGATACTGGAAGATTAACTGAAACAAGAATTTTTTTGTATATCAAATAATAAGAGACTTAATGAGGAATCCTTTTCACCACTGATAGAAGCACTTATTTACTTCCCTTTGAAATTTCTGACTAAAATAGTTCACCAAACAGTACAAATTGGCTTTAAAACTGAAACAATATTTTAGAGATGACAATTAACATGTACATTATATGAAAGTGCAAGAACTGATACATAAAACATATGCAGCAAACCTCAAGAGGAAGGGAGTTTGTTCCCATTGGAAGGGAAATGGCTGGATAAATAGTTGATTGACTCACAGCAATAGCATCAAACTCGTTGGAAGTCAAAACAACCTAAAATTGACCAAAGTGAAATACAATTTACTTTGACTACAACAATTAGAGCCTGTGGATTGATATAGCAATCAGCCAAGAGAGTGTATTAATCAACCAAGCTGCTTTCACAATGACCTACATACAGTACAAGCACCTTGAGTTCCTTGGTAAATGTTTGACATTCACCAGATATACATATGGGTAACCAACCTCCTTTTTTTCAGAATCTACAGTATTCCAACCAAATAGTCCCAAAAAGCCCTGCCTGGAGATCAAAATGTAAAAAAAATTTCTTAATAAAAAACAAAATAATGCATCTAACTAAAGTTAGACTGTGCTAACTGAATACGTACATTACACATATTAAATATTATCAGATTCAAATAAAAGCCTTCATATATGATTAGTAAGTCTTTAAGTGTGGGTCAAAGTATCGAGTTCTTGTGAAACATTCTACTGTTACAGTACCTCCCTTTACATAAGGATGCATGTAATATGTTTGTGCAAGGAATGGGGGTTATTTTTCTGTTGGCTCAAATTATAATATGCATTTAGGAGTAACAGCTCTTCAACATTTACTAGCTTTCCAGTAGAAGTTGAATCATCCATATTTTGACTTAACCCTAAAGTGATCAACATACAGGTACATGTCACTTTCTTACCGTGGTTCAATAGCAATGCAGGAGTCAGATGAGTCAGACCCCAGCCTCACCAGCTTAATGCCCCGAACAGTTTCCTTGCTGACATCATACCATGGGAATAATATACACTCATATTTTCTTGACCTCCCATTTTGCTCCTTGAACTATATGAGAATAGAATAAAATACAAAAAAAAAATTTACCTTCAACTCTGAAGGAACTAGACAACAACAACTTTGAGTGGTAAGTATATTACAATTTTGGTCAATTTCAAATATCATTATCATCATTTTAACCACTAAAATCACTCAAAGTAATTATTAAACATATTCACCTCATGTTCAACAAATCTGACTTGAAATTTCTCCAATACATCCCTTCTTAATTCCTATAAATAGCAGGATACAAAGTGAACTCAGCAGAATATTATTCAGGCTATTCAAGGACAGAGCAAAAATTAAACACAGTTCTTATAAACAAGCAGGCTGATTCACACAGAGGAAACCAAATGTTTTCACCATCTTTTGACCAGGAAAAAAAAATACAATAATAATGAGCTGAACCCAAGAGTAAGAGCTGGTTGATCATGTAGTCTAATTGTGTAAGTGGGAGCAGTCATGAAAAAGTATTTTATCAGTAGCAACATTAAGTGGTGACTGCCATCTCAAAAAAAAAAATAGCAGAAATAATCCTCTGAGTCTAGTAAGGAGTTGTTTAAGTAAAGCAATGATTCTTGTTGGTGAGCTGCTAAAATGAAATCTATTTCTCAATCACTAAAAATTATCAAGGAACTGTTTTTGGTAAAGTGTTATAGGTCTGGTTCATGGAAACTGATTGGTCAGTTTTGCTGTGATATTACTGGTTGTACACGTATGCAAGATTCAGGTAGAAGAAATTGGTTAGGACAGGTCAGTTTCATTGTGTCAGTAAAGTTATGTCCTTCTATTTTCCTAATCTATTGTGTTTTAGCTGTATATAAGTTGCTCATATGGTGCTAGAAGTTGTTAACATCAGTTTGCAACCCAGCTTTCAGAAATCCCTGGTTGAAAGAAGCTTAAAGAGGAGGTTAAACACAACTTTAGTCTTACTGCTAACAACATCAGGGCACTTCTGACTAATCAGTTCTCACCAACCAGGCTTTTAACACTGACCTGACAGACAAATTGTCTCTTGACTCTGATGATGATGACTTCCACAGATTTTGTTGAATTGTCATCAAAGATTAGGATACATTAGGATGTAATGGTTAAATATGATATTTGTAATTACATTATTTGGAAACACTGGAGAGTAAAACACTGTTTTACCTTGACTGAGAAATGATTAATAAACTTTTCCCACATCTCATGATCACACTGAGTCAGTGAAGTAGACTTTTCCCATATTTGTCTGGCTAAATCTGAACTGCTTTCAATATGATTGCCATTTGAAGAGAATTTATTTGCCTCTTGAGAAATGTTTCCTTCATGTATCTTCTACATTGATAAAAAACAGGTCTAAATACACAATTTCAACTTGAATGGTTAGACAGACCTGAGAGCAAAAGTTGATCATGTAGTATGATCACTGGTGAATCTCCGAGGTAGGGTAGTTGAGAAAAAAAATTACTTTTGGTGACAGTGGTTGATGTTTGACAACTTGTCATTATTATAATAATTCAGCTGCTAAAATAGAGATTCCAAATCTGTCACTGCCACTGACAGAACTCCTTTTTGTGGCTCTTCAAATCCTCTCCCAGATTATTTTACTACACAATAAACATGTAACTGAACAACAAAATTGAAATTGGTTTTGTCAGGTTTTGATTTTTGTGAATCTGTAAGAGTTACTAGTATCTTATTTCTCTGCACAATATCACCCCAGCCCCAAATCTAATATTATGAAAGCAAAATGAAACTCAAATCACAGATCTTCCCACTATAAATACTGCAGATGTCATTAGGAAGGTTCAGAATTAAATACATGTAGATATGAAGTCTCCCTCAGTATTCCTTGTCTCCCAATCATGTTTTCATATTTTCCTGTGCAAGATCATGTTTACCTGTGCAAGATTGTGTTTACCTGTGCAAGATCGTGTTTACCTGTGCAATAATGGCTGAGTCCTCTCCATCATTTCCATAATTTATTATTACTGGAAATAGTCCTCAATTCACTTGTTCAACAGATGAGCATGATCATGAACTTTCAGAGGGTGGGCCAAGTGCATGTAAGTCAGCATATCCCTTGATATATGGAGGAAACATTGCAATACTACCGCTCTTTCCTCTGAATCAAATTTTGAAAACTATGATTCTATGGTTTGAACTGCAGAAAGAAACACTTTTAAGCCACCTCAGGCAATTACCTCACCTTTTTACATGTGTTAGGCACCTGTGCTGACCATATTATTTGAACCCGAGGAGTGATTTGCAAACTTTTCTTGTGTTCCCCCAACAGGCCAAATGGGTTATTATGCTAGTAAACTGATAGAAAGTGTGGTCTATCGCTTTTATTAAATAAAATTGAAACAAAATATGTTTCAACTTTCTATGGGTTACCGGTGCAATAAACGACAGGTTTTTGACCAATCAGGGCGCTCGTAGTATGTCGGTTATTTTATAAACATTGCAGACTGTAATTTTCACTGTCTAAATTTTTACCTTAAATTGACTCCAGGTTCCCGATAATCCACAGTTTTTGCAAAAATGACTTCCAGTAGTCTTATTAATATAAAGTGTTCGTGCATTGCCCTTCTCCTCTATACTCTGAGCTTTGCTAGCACATAGTGGACAATTTCCTATGAGTGAAGTATGACCGCGTTCGAACGTGAGTTTACGACTTGTCAGAAAATGCTCGATCTGCTTTAGGCTTGGTAACTGTTCACCAAAATCTCCAGGTAACGTATGAATGATTCTTTTTCTGATCTGTGATGCAAACGTCGTCCCAGCATCAACACATATTGTGGTGCTTGAAGTAAATCGTTGGGATTCGATTTTTTGCTGAGAAACTAACCACGTGCAACAAGTTCGGCATGAATTCCACGAACTTTGCCAATTTTTCGCTAATTTGTGCCATGAAAAAAACCACGCCACCCGGTTTAAACTTTGGACCATTTTTTTTTAAAGCATAGTCATGATCATGCTTCAGGATACAACAATTAGTTATTAGCCGGATCTATCGCCTGAAACATCCAGGCGGTTAGCTTTTCGACTGTGGGTGCGGGAGATAAGTTATACTATGGGTGGGAGGGGTTGTGGTCGCATCGCATGCAGGTAACCGTGATCACTCATCTCCCTTGCAGTTCGACATGTTAATAAGCCCTTCCTTGCGCACAAAGGATGTCTTTGAAAAACTCTATATACAGATCAAAAGTCTAGCAAGCTCTGCAAACTTACCGTTCGATAATCTCATCAAAGTTTAGGTGCACACCATGAATTATGCTGCGACGGAAAGAGCGAGTGACATGTTATGTTTCACTCTTCAGGGTAGGGTATAGCAAGTACACGCACCAGTCTATGTCCTTAGGTGCTCCTCGTGCACACCAAAACCCGAAGGACACTTACTTGTCATCAATCGGACCTAGGCAGCCAGGGTGCCCTATCAATAATTGGTACTAATCTACTATCTATCCCAAATACTACTATCTGACTGGCAACGCTACTTGCTATCTATATAAACAGTAGCCTCTATTTGGTGCAAAAACATGCCCAGATGATTGCTCGTGGACATTATCTCTTGCGAGATCCGAACAGTTCCAGGAGGGCGAAGCTCGAGGAAAACTGTAAGCTTCGAAGACCAGACAGTGTCCAAGGACAAATATATGAGCACACTTTTGTGCCAAATGGTACATGAAAAATTACTCAGTTCTAATTGGTTAAGATAAATGCAGTTTTTAGGCAATTCATTGCAGAAGAGGGTTAATTCAGTGCAAAGAAGTAACAAACCAGACTGAACAATTCCTTGAACTGTTTAGCCAACTTTGACCTTTTTTGCACCTTAAAGATGTGAAAATATCATTGTATATTATTGTTTTGATCGTGCAGGGTTGTTTTGACTAAATGCATAATGTCACTTGCAGGGTTTTAATAAATTATTTTTACACTTGATGTGTGAGCTTTGCTTTGGCATAATTATGATAAACTATCTTTTATTTTTCATGTATATTATTGATACATAATCACATGATTTTTCTTGTGCAATTCGGAATAAATGAGCACAATTTTTTTATAGACCACAAATTACAAAAATTTTGTTAGTCTGAAAAAATTTACTCATGCTCATTTATTCCAAATTGCTCTCAAAATTATGATTGTCTATGCAAATATTTTTGCATTTGATGGGAAAAATGGTAACACACAAGTTACTGTATGCTGCATGGGCTGTTTAATTGTCAGTGTTCTCTGGTATGACATTATGAACAAACAATTAGTCTTTTCTTCTGCAACAAAAGCTAAATGCTCTCCCATCTTGAATTAAATTTTAAAGACTTCTAACATAGTAGACATAGGGTTTGAAAATTGGGGAATACAACTTGGGTGTATCCTTGGATATTACCCAGTATTTGATTAAATCTTATTTAGACCAGTCACATGCCAACAAAAATATTTCATGGATTGCAATAGTGCTTATGGGTAGAGTGAGTAGGTGACAGCGTGTGGTTGTAAACAAAAAGAATTAAAAGCACGAACCTGTCTTAGTGTTCAGTTTAAAGCAGGTTGTGGATTTATAATGCTGAATTAGGGCCTTGTCTTGCCTCATATCACAAGATGGAATATCTTGAGCTCATAATCTTAATGTTACATAAAATTATAAAATAATAATTGATGGAATACAAGAATTTCTCCCACTTCCAAAATACTATTTCTTGTTTTAAAAGAGACATATCCTCTCATCCTTCCATTTCTTACTAATGTCACCTGCTTTTAAGGAATGTGTATGAAAACAAGGGAAGACTCAGACATAGTTTGAAGCTACACTGGTTTGCAGATTTAATGAATGTAACCGAAGAAGTTACAATTCATAGACCCAACGTTTCGACACTCCTGTCTAGTGCCTTCATCAGGGGTGATCTAAACGCTGCAACAAGAGGTCCTTTTATATGATCACTAATTAGCGGCCTTTTTTCTGACGAGGTGTAAATAGGCGTCAGGAAGCAGACCGCCATCGTCACGATTTAAAGGAGCGTGGGCGGAGTTAATGTGCCAAGCCTCCAAACAAAGGCGCTGGTGGTAACGCCGATTGGTAGTGATAATTTTAGAATTATCCCACCCAAAGGGAAGACTCCTTAAGAAAAGCGTAAGTTTTTGTTTTCATAACTCTGGTCAGTCTGTTCTGACACATTATTACCCTCCTATAAATATATATTACTGATCAATCTGGTTCGAAGAAGATCGCTGGATAATGGCAAATAACAAAATGGGGAGGTATCAAAGTGACTAGCCTCAAGAGGGCAAGCCTCTTATGCAAGTCAATGTAGGATTCTGCTGCTGTTCTTAAACACAAAATGAGGACAAAAGTTACTCCAAATGTTTATTTTAAAAAATAAATCACAAATTTATATTTAAAAAGTTTTGGCCCCCTCCTTTCCTCTTGAATGTTTGACTTTATTCTTCTTTTTCTTGACTTTTGTATTTCCATCCGTTATGTTTAAACCATTCTGATTCAGTCTCTCAGGGGATAGTTCAGTCACTCTTTCAGGCTGATCAGTTTCATCACTAGACCGTTGTTCATATCTTTCTATATCTTTGTGTTTCCTTTTCCTGTAACCAAGAGAGGAAAGTTACACAATCATGACAATGGAAAATATTGATGATGTATCTTGCAATACACAATTCTATTTATATCAAGCTTATGCAAGCACAAAATTTAAGCAACTTGTTTGTGATCATACTTAATATTAACTTGAAAAGAAATACAAGAGCTGCATGATTTTAACAGCCTCAGAGGTGTTAGTAGAGAAATCATGTTTAAAGGCTAGCGACTACTATTTGTCCAAGTCAACTGAAACTAGTAAAGAATAATTACTGGATGCAGCTTTAATCCTCAGCCTCAGCCAAAGACACAAGGAGAGGGATAAAGAAAAAGCTAGCAAGTATGAATTCTGCACTGGTAGCTCACAATGAAAAAATATGACTGGCTATCAGACAACTAGCAACAAGCTGCAACTAGTTGTCAACACTCAGCACTGATAGCAATCCATATGCTTCCAGAATTCTTGTCTTGGTTTTAGATTGTTCAACCATTTAAAACAGAACAGATTGAAGCTTTTGAGGCCCAGTTTTAATGAGGTGTAATATTATTACCATTTTCCCCACCAGATTTTAAAAGAAAAAATGTGGTCTCTTTTACACAGTATGCTTACACATGTGAGCTTACATTCAGCTACAGTATGAAATATTCACCTTTTGTTGACTTTTTGTTCCTTCACTTCACCTATTATTGCTAAAACGCCATTCACGGCTTCTGTTCCAATAACTTTAAATAAAAATTCAGATCCAATGTCCAGGCTATCAAAAAGTAATCCATTTTTAAAGTTTGATTTCGCGATCGAAGCGTTAAAACAATTGTGAACCAAACATCCAACGTAATCAACGCCAAGTTTGTTTACGGTTCCCACAAGCGTACTTCCGATCGTCGGCTTAAACAAGATGATATTTACTTTTACGTCAAAATGAATATAGGGTGATTCTTCCAGAATGGAGCCAGTTCTTTGCTCAATTTTAAAAGCTTCATAATTTACAGGCACACCGTTCAGAATGTCCGAATGCCTCATCAGCTTACTTTTTAAATGTTCCTGAACTCCTTTCCTCACACAACCGAGGTATCGTGGATGTAGTACAATATGTTCTGTTGTTTGTTCCTTCACAAAGCAAGAATTTGTTTCAGAGCACTTTCTTTTTGCTTCCTTAAGAGAAAATTCGTAAGGCACATGCTTCGAAGGAGACGCCATTTTGAAACTACCTACTCTGGGAAGCCTGGAAACTATTCTAGTAACTTGCGGAAATCTACAGTTCAGCGGTCGTGAAGGGTAAAATGGTTAGTGTTTTGGGAGGTACTCTGAAATGCATTCCTCTACCATTTTTAACGATGGCTAAGTGTAACTTTGATTTAAATGTGACTTTCGCATTTGAACGCTCTTTCTTTGATAATAAGCTCCTTCTACTCCTTACTTTAACCTTCTCAGTAATCATGGTAAGGCCGAGAACTAGTCTGGCGGCTTCGATAAAGAAGACCAGCTATATGAAACCTATAATAGAAGTAAAGAAGTATTGCTATTATGATCTTTAGTGATGTTATTACTTTAATTAGTAGTGGTAATAATAGGAAGGCTTATTGTCTTTTCTTGGAAAATATTACATCCGATCGACACCAGTTTGATGAGAATGAAATTCGTGAAATTCTGGTGTTGTTCTTGCTAGTTTTAATTGTTCATATCCTTTTTTCTATCTAATTTATTATTTTTTGGGGTCATTGTAGTATTTATCTTTTCCAGTTTTGGTACATTTAAGATTTTCATGATTCCTTTTTTTCACTATTTTTCTTAGCATTTGAATGTTTGTGGAAAGAACCTTAGTTGTACGATAATTTATGTCACAGTGCTTTTTAATCATCTCCTAGAGGTAATTGAGCCCAAACGATAGCAGCTGATATCGGGGAGTTTCTATAGAGTTCTTCCTTCTTCCAATGAAAGTGTAGTGCATTAAAAATTTGCCGGCCGAAGGAAAATTCTACATATACCGGAAAATCCTATATGTACCGGAAAATACTATTTGCTGAATGTCTCACAGAAAAGCTTGATAGCGGATATCGGCAATGAAGTCAGTCCCTGGCAACATCGATCAGAGATTTGTATTATTCCTACACAGGAAGAAGGCGATTGGTTAGTTTCTACACGGTTTTTTTTAGTTAGTTTTCCCTTTTAGACCTCTCACGTCAGGCACACTTAAATCTCAAGCCTGTATTTTTGCTGATGAAATGGAAAGATATTAGTCCAGCTGTCGGCCTCTTCAGCTTCGAGAGGAAACTAATAGAGGAGTAAAATATTACTGTGGATAGATATTTTTATCACACCCAGCCAGTGTAACAACTTCGACTCTTCTTCTATGACAATGGACTGATTTTAATATACTCAGTTGTTACAACATAAGAATATCATTGGTTTATTATTCTATCCTGGCAGCTCAGTGCCTTATTTACAGTCAGTTTGACAACAACGTGGACTCAATGGAAACGGAAGAAAAATAGTGGAACGGATTGTTAATATTGGGATGAATAGAAATAACTGACAACACTATATTTGAAATTCTGGGTACTGTTTTTTCCAAAAAAGGCCGAAGTACAAGCTGTCCTGAAATTTTTAAACCTTTTTTGATATTTGCCCCATATCGAAAGACGTATAGCAGACTCGCCGTGAAACGATCTTGTTGGAACACTCATCACAAGAATACTGCATTTCAGTCTTTCTTATGATTTTGCTGATAATGCAAAATTATTTACTTATTTCAAAGGTTGTACAGGGTTGTACCTCCTGATAATTCGTCGAAAACCTGACAACTAGCATGATAACTTAGCGAATACAAATCAAATGTCACTGTAGCAACCCAAGAGAAAACAGCTTTGATTTTTTACTCGCCCGAGACCATGCAAACCACCTGTGAAGAGAAAATAAGTGTAAAGCGATTGAGTACTCAATATACTGGCAGCCTTAAAAGGAAAATGAATAAAACATCGCCATTAATCTTAAAATTAGAATTTAATCTGGGAACAAACTCAGTCACTCACTACCACGATGTAATCTTTTTTTAAGGTGGATCCTCAGTAATTTGAGCAATGGAGCCATGCTAATTACGAAACCATGAGCTGAGCAACTCATATCCATATGAAACCCGCGGTCATCAACTTATTTTTTCTCCCAAGCCATAGTGTCCTTAGTATCTCTGCCCTTACTCTACGACTGATGTTAACAATGCCTATTAAAATTATCACGCTGTGTTAGTCTTGTGAGAATAACTATGACAACCTAAACATCTTTCATAACGAAACGTTTGATAATTCTAAATAACATTAACCTGGTTGTAAAATGAAAATTTCAGTTATCCTTAGAGTTAAAAACATCACAGGAAAAGCTTGTTTCCTATTTTCTCCTTTTCCCGATAAACTGTGCCAAGAGAGGATTAGCCTCTCTTGACTGTGACTAACCGTGGGTCCTTACTCAGGAAGCATGTATATCGGCTTTGTGAAAACACGAACAGTATCACTGTACTTTTTGCCATGCGATTGAGAGAAAGTCTGGGTTGAACGTAATTGAATTTTCTTTGATAAGGATCTGTACCACTTTCACCGCTCTTATAGAACACTTTACGTTTATTCCCTGGTTTACGTAAATAAAAAAAATTCCTGAATTTATCTACGCGAGAAAAGGATTTTAATCGTGGTGTTTTCGTCCGATTACATGAGCCAAACAGACCCTTGGCAACCTTTTGTTGTTCATCAAAATTGTCATTGCACAAAATGGGCAAAAAATACCTAAAAAAAAACAACAGCAGTAAACTACAATGAATTAACCATACACAGAAATACTTTTTTGCTCAAGTTATAATGAATTGCATTCTTTACACAACCGATCAAGTCATGTTTAAGCTTATTTCTGGAAAGTCAGTTTTTATCTCAACAAAAGTCATTGAGAGTAAAGGTAATATTCGAGAGAATATGTTGCATGGAATGAATTTCTAAATTGGGGGTCGAAATAACCACAATAAGGAGGAAGTTTTTCTCTTGAAATTGCTTAGCGACGAAAACAACAAACTTCGATTCATAAATACATCGAACAAATTAATACTGTTAAGCCTAAAAAAGATCACATATATCTAATATCGGTTCTAATTGTGTATTATCAAATGTAATTAATTATTTCTATCTGGTGCTATATAAGGTGTGTACCAGTAGCTCCGTCACTTCATGAACTCACATCGTAGGACAATAATGATCTTCACTCAGCGTTTTCGCAGCGGGTTTCTTCTTCTCTCCTTTGGTAAGTGAACTATGACAGTCTCAGAACCATGCAGTACACATACGCACACTGATCTAAGAGTCTTTTTCGAAGGGTATCCTTTTTGTTTTATAAACTACTTCAGTAGCTGGGGTAGAGAACTCTTGTATTCAAGGACAATGATTACATTTCAACGTCAAATCGCCACTTGTTTAGCGAAGTTAACAACTGACGACGTTTACTTAAACAGTAAAACTGGACTCGAGATACCAACTGTCACATAATTGATTGAAATTGTCTCACTTAAGTTTACACACGGCTGAAAGTAGACGGTGAGAAGTTCATGTTTGCCGTTTGCTGATCGTAAAGATCGTGCTAGACCTCCCTGCTATTTCAAAGTCATCAATGTGACGCGGAAAAAGTGATTCGGTCCAGAAATAGAAGATAATTGTAATTCAGTAACAACACTTTTCAATCACGGTTTGATTTTCCCAATTTAGTAATTTTTTCTCTTTAATTTTGTTGTTGTTGGCTCAGGTCTACCTCAATGATTGTAAAGTTGCTACTTCGTGGCAAATGTCCTGCTGTTTCAAACAGTTGGTTTTTTTTTCTCACTTATTTAAAGTGATTTCAATTCCTAATGTCTTTTAGCTTTAATGATCTGTATATATACTTCTAAGTTTTTCGCAGTTACACCCGTCGCTAATTGGTATCTATTGCTGATTTCTTTAATGACATTAAATGATATTTTGAATAAATCAGGCATTCAGGCTTTATCCTCGAAGAAAACACTGAACATATTTTGCTCCTGTTGTGGCCTTTATCAACGCTGACGTTTTAAGTCCTTAATGATCAATATTAGGAGTCATTTGACTTACCTCTTGTGGCCAACATTTTATTATAAACAGATTTAGTAATATCTTAATCTAAGGCTAGGAGGACTGAAACGATATCATCATCTGCTTAAAATATGCCTTACTTCACAGACAGTGATGGCATCGTCTGTCTTGGTATCCATTTCTGAGGTCTCAACGTCAACACAGTTTTAAGGGGTACATGTATTTACTGTTCGTTTCGTGACAACAATTACTTTTCCCAGGATTACATGAGTTACTGGGCTCTGATCATAAGAGTTCCCGTGGTAACCTTTGAAGGACTTTAACATTTCGCCAGTCGAAATATGGTCGACTTTTATGAATTAGAATATCATATTTCCGTCATTAAGTCGTATTTTCCTCTCGGCTTCGTATAATTTGCGGCAATCAAAGACTCAGAGAAATAGAAAATATTGACAGACTTAGAAGGATAGCAATTCATATGAGTCTTCAGTCGATACATTATCAGGTGATGCAAGGCCAGAGGATGGAAAATAGACAGGAACTTAACGCGTGCATAGTCGCTAACATATTCTGAGTTTTGAAAAGATTCTTAGGAATGTCATCGCACGCGGATGACATACTGCGCGTATTTCAGTTTCGCCTTTCGGACAAGATCAAATACTAATTTGCATACGACAGCAAGCTTTGTTCACATTACACACGTCATACAAATGAGACTTAATGGGTTAAGTTTGCAAAGCTAGGTAGGTGTTTCATTTGCATATAGCCTTATTTCAAGGAACCTTTTTTTTCAAGGTTTAATCAAACTTCAGATATGTCTGATGGAGGGTTGCTGTTCAGTGTACCTCCAACTGTAATAATTACTTTGCTTATCATTGTCTTCTAAAATATTTTTGGCGGTGGAAACCTTTCATTCTCCACAGCTTTGTTCCTGATCGTGTGTTTTGCTGACGAAGGAGGGAACAAAGATGACGATAATGATGAAAAGATAACAATTCGTGGCAGTAACGTGTCGGCCAGAATACTTGGTCGGTCAGGAAAAATAATGGTTGTACGAAATGAAAAAGACGACGATGATGATAAAGATGACAAGGATAATGTTGACAAAGACGACAGAGATGGCACAGACAAAGACGACAAGGATGACTCGGACAGCAAGGACGACAAAGATAATAGAGACGGCAAAGATAGTCGAGATGATAAGGACGGGTCCGACGGTAAAGATGACACAGACGATGATAAAGATGATGAAGATGATGACGATGATGATGATGATGACGATGACGAAGATTTTAACGACAACAACGAAAACTTGTTAACTTTTGAACTCGATGAAATCGAAGAAAAAGATGCAGATGACAATGATGTCGATGACAAACATTCCGTGGATTCCTTTGATGATGTGAAGTTCACTTTTGGGAAAGTAAATAAGAAGTCTACGCTCAATGGAATCCGCGTCACTACTGTGAACTTGTCAACTTACTTTGATGATCAAAAGGCTTCACTTGAAATCATAGTGTACTTGTTTCATGAACCTGGGAGTGTCAAATTTGGTAATGAGACTTTTGCCGTACAAAGTGGAACTGTCAAGTTCAATATTAAGGTGAGTAAATGCAGCCAACAGAGCTGCGTATGATTTCTGTTATAATAAAACTTATGGTTCTATCAACGTGGCCATTTTTTACCATTTCTATAATTTAAATTTTCTGAACTATTGTTTTACGGTAGGAAAATCTGTAATTTATCAGTGCAGGAGAAACCATAGAGCTAGAGATGGTAAGACTAAGATCTGAAACAAATTTGATAAGCAATGGAAGTTTAAACCTCTATCGTAATTATTTCCAGCTTTAAGTGGATCTATTGCTTTTACATATCATCCCCAGCTTGTGATTTCAGTCGTTGTGTTAGGGTGTGTGTATGTGCGTGTATCCGTTTAGCTATAATAACTTCCTAGAGAGATATGTATTCCTTCAACGAGTATCAGTGAAAAAGAAAATGATAAAAAAATGAAGTGATTATGATAAATTGCTCATATGTGTCTAATATAAACAGATCAGTAACTGGGATTTCTGTGATAAAGACGATTCACCTGGAGACTGCAGTGAGGGCAAAGTAGGAAAATATCTCGATCTTAGCCTTAAAATAAAGAGCAAAGGATCTCCGAAAGAGGTGGACGAGGATGACCGCAAAAAAAAAATCTGCAACTCTAAAGATGACGATGATGATGACGATGACGATGATAAGGATGAAGATGAAGATGACGATGACGATGATGACTGCCCTATCATATACGACGTTGGTGGAGACTCGGAAATGCTGCTAAATAAAGGGGTAGGTCAAGCGAACTTAGACATAAATGTATTTCAAGAGATTAAAACGACTCATCTTGGCTGATTTTTTCTGACATGAGAAATTTTGAACTACAATTAGTCAATCAACGAAATGGCAATATTCTGAGATAGCCAACCAATTTTATCGCTAATACCCTCTTTTTTACTCCCTTTCCCCCTATGCCGACGAGCTTTGATTCCTGTGATAATATAACATTGGTTTGGGGAAGGGGGCTAAGTTAGTATCAACATATGATCTTAGTTGACGGGTGAGACCGACTCAAGTGATCACATTTCGCCTCCAAGTGTAGGCTTCACCAAGCGATTTACGTTTCAACTTTGCCGTTAATTGCAAGCTTTCTTTTCCCCTCGACGACTAAGAACAATATAAATCACGAATCGATTTATTTCAAATTAACTTAAGTTTAACTTAAGTTGGTAAAGAACTTCACACCCCAGTCAATTTATTGCCTCAGTGAGAAAACATTTCCTTCTATGCCTAATTCGATGTGATGTCATTGGAGGCGTAGATATTCCGGATAATAAAACGATCAACTGAATATACTTCTTTCTTGCATCCGACAGGACTTATACTCTAATGTTTTATGAGCGCTCACCATTTTCGGAATGTTAAGCCAAAAAGAAAGTGATATAAGAGTAATTATTAACAATTTCCTTGTAGTAAGTCTTAGGCGTCTTCATATTATAAGCTTATATAAGCTTAGATAAGAATAACAGTTACTCAGTTATTAATTTCTTTTAAATCGATTTCTAATCTGTCTTCCCTTTTCTAAGGTCATAATTGACGATGATGAGTACACTGCTATGCCACAAGGATTTCCCAAATTTGAGTCAGATGACAATGAGAAGAAATTCGTGTTTCGCATCCCGAAGTTTAAGAGACACGTGCTGATTGATCCAAGTGTGAACGTTGGCAAGGTGCTAAAGGAAGTCATTGTCGAGAGTGCTGCTTCTTGGTCACAATTCAATATTGCTGTTACTGTTTTGCTTCTATTTGTAGCTATTTTTACAGCTCAGTTCTAGAATATGGAACAGAACAACTCACCTGATTAAGGCCAATTAAACGTTGTGTTTTTAAGTGTATATCTAAATTGAAAAGTTGATACATGGATCTGTATCGAAAATAGTTGCACATAGCATTCTTTTTAGGGCTAATCTCGAGCTGTAAAGATTTTCATCGTCTTCAAAACAGAGACTGATGTTGAATTTTATAAGAGGATAATAGCTGTGCTGTTTCTCCTCGCAAGACTCGCATTCCGTAAAGTGCCGAAAACTTACGGCTGAAATCGAAACATTGAGCGTGCGGCTGGCAATTTTACAATGCAAGATTCAAAGCAAATCCATTTTTTCCTTTTTGATATCTGACTGAAATGGCAGCATGAAATCTCTTTGTCAGATGTTCTTTGCCATTACGACGAGAGGATCTCGATTTTCAAAAGAAACATGTTTTTTTCTGATTTATCTAGTCGAGCTTTCCTGAAAAACTAGATGTTATTATAACAATAAAGTTTATCTCAAAGAAAAAGTGTACTAGTCTTAGAGAAGGCCCACAAACATGAACGTGATTGTTGTCGATGATATCAGCTCAGAGTCCACGACGTTGTCGGCGATCTGTGTCGCAGTTCTGGGACCTTCTTGAGCGACCTCTTAAGGTGATTTTTTTTCAGACAATGATGGTCAGAGAAATTTAACTGTCTACCCCCCAAACGCTTATTTTTAACCGTTGACTGTCGGATATACTTTTATTTTGAGACCGTACAAAAATTGCGATATCATTCTTGCGGAGATGATCTCAGTCGTGTCATATTTTATCTCTTTTTAATCATATGTGTTATCCTGACATTTTTATTTTTTGAAATTATCACCTACATTCCTGAATAAACGAGAAAAACAGTCGACGGGTAGGGAGGCAAAAACTAATAACTGTTGCCGGTCGCGGCAAAGTAATGCGCTGAAACAGACTGCCACGGACTCTTTCATCGTGTTTTAGCTTGAATTAGTACTTAAGGGCCACTCTGGTACCCTTTCAACTCAAATTAGTTCACCCTTCTTGTCTAGACTCCTCGTTTTATCTCGGCGTAAAGTCACACACAAAATGTTTCTTAACTGCAGTGTTAGTCTATAGGAGAAAAAGACTTTATTCGAGTTTAAACGCCCTCTGCCAATCCTCTCCTCAGGGGGTGAGTGCACCCAAACATGACCCCATTGTCATCTATCGTGAGCGCCACTCCTAATCCTATTGGTCCAAACGCCTTCATATATTCCAGCTCGGTCACGTTTTGTCCCATCTTACGTACTTCCTGTAACACGTTGTTGGCAACTGAGAACTCTTCTATAGGAACCGCCTGGAAAAAATCTGAGAAGCTCGGCAAAAGAAAAGTAGGGGACTCCATGGCTTCTTTAGGATTCATACCGCTATCCAAGAGGTTGGTAAAGTACTGTGGAACCACAACGGGATACGATTCTCCCACAACAGACAGTGCCATGACTGGCCGCTGGCTTCCGGTTGCCTCGCCACCCTTGAATACTATAGCAGGTTGAAGGCCCGCTGGAAGCCTTCCCCCGGGAGTTGTCTGCTTGACGAAGGACTTAAATATCGCAGCTGAATGCGGTAAAGCAATTCCCTGCACAAAAAGACCTGTTCCCCACATTTCACTGTTGATAGTGTGAATCATGGAGCAAACGTTGCCATCCTTGTCGGCTGCGACTATAGAATCTGAGCCATGTATAAAGTCTCTTATGTTCTCCTCTCCACCAAGCAGTCTTTTAATTATGGTATTGACGTCTCTCATCTTTTCAGGAGAACCGATCCTCTCCCAAATGGCTTCCGCAGACCCTTTCGAGAGGCGATTGGAGAAATCAAGGTCAAAGTTCTCTTTCAAGATCGATAAGCCAGAAGGGTTTGAGTGCAAGAAAGCAGAAACAAAGAAACTAAAGCGAGAGATCGAGGCGAGTCGGAAAAATTCGGTCGCATTTGTGATGTAACTGGACCCAGGTTTCTGGCCGATTTCTGCCATTTCCATTAGATTCAGCTTTTCAATTAGTTCAATTCCGCCCCAGTCATTTCCAGACGTACACACATTGTATTCGTGATACGACGTATTGAAGGGCTCTTCCCATTGCGTTTGATAGCGGTGCATATCATTTAGGGCAATAAATCCCTTAGCCTCTTTAATCAGAGACGTCATCTGCTCGGCCCACGTTCCATTGTAGAAGAACTCCTTTGGATTCTCAGACACACTTCGTATAAATTCGGCTACTTCTGGTTGTTTGAAAAGTTCGTTAGAGGCGTATGGCTTCCCAGTCTCAGGATTGGTAAAAATCTTTTCACCTAAAGAAATTCAATTATTGAGGATGTTTACTTCTTTTTCATCTTTGTCGTAGGTTTTATTGTGCCCTTCTGTTAAATCTATCTATCTTTCTGTTAATTTTTGTTGAGTTCTGTTTTACCTCTCTAACAGTATTTCATCTCTATGTCAGCTACGCATTTTTCAGTCGATCGTTTGCATCAGTATTTTTTACGGTATTTTCTACCTGATAAATTCAACGTTATCTCTAAGAAAGTTTAATACATGAGTTGGATGGACCAATTCTTCCAGACCTCCACACTTTTACTCCCACATTTCCGAAACCTCACCGTTAATATTACCCACTTTCCAGACTCCCTTCCAAACTTCAAACCCTCTAAACTTTCGCACTTCCTCATTACATACTTCCACATTTTTAGATTTCCAAAACTCCATACCACCCAGCTTTATTCATTCAAACTAAGACTATTTACACTCACTCAGTTTCTCACTTCCATTACTTTAAACTTGCACAAATGTCTTTACAAAGACCTCCTCGCTCTCAAGCATTTAGAGCTGAGAGGTATATTAATCTCCGCGCCTTTCGATATCCTAAGTAGAGCTTACAGATACCACTTCATACCTTCACTTGTTCGCAACAATGTAATGTCGTTGTAGTATATTTTGATGGCGGAAGCCATCCCAGTGGACAGCTTAAATCCGTTTTCAGCGAAATACAACGCGGGCTCGAACAAAGTACTGAGAGGGAACTTTGCAAATTTGGCTGCAGCGTCAGCTACACCCGCAATGAAACCTGGGACGAGAACAGACGCACCATTGGCTTCTGGAGTGTGAACTTTGGGGATCTGGGACGGGTCTCCTTTCAGTGGGGTATTCCAGCCGCCATTGATACTGTACACCTTATTAGATGACTTCTCGTAATAGAGAATTTGCGTGACACCAGCATATGAAACATACGAACCAGTCGCCAGCGTGACCTCTGGGAAAGCAAAACGTAGTTTATAAGTAAGGATATCTCATAAACGTCCCGAACTGTGACCTGAGTATTTCCATCAATCAGTAAAGTCATTCGTTCTTCCTTATTTTTTTTTTTTTTTATTAACAACATGGGCGACTACAGCAGTGTCCTAACATTGCCTTGAAATAATTTGGTATAATTACGTATTAGGTCAGTGCGCAGATAAACAGAGTCAAAACACAAAGAGTAATAAGAAATTTGCGATGAAACTGTTGATGTCACGGTCATAACTTTACAATCGTGATGAGTGTTTTTCATAATTTATGCTAATTCTTTAACTACTAAGTTATTTTATCAGCTGCCGCAATTCTGCAGTAAATGAAAAAAGCCTGCAATGCTGTGGAAAAGGTTATTCATGCCAATGAAGTGATTTTTCCCGTCAAACCTCAATCACGTGAGGGCTGAATTGAGCTCCTCACCCGAGGGCTCTTCGCCTAAGATGCCCCACCAAGTCCACCAGGATTTTCATGAAGCGTTTATTATACCTGCAAGGGCAGTTGCCAAACAAGCATCCATAGCATTCCCACCCTTCCTGAGCGCGTCCATTCCCGAGTGCACGGCGAAAGGTTCAGTTGTCCCAGCCACAATCCCTCTACCCTCACTAACTGCCAATGGCTTCGGTCGCTCATAGCGGTTGAGCGACATTCTTTCCAGGCGATCATACTCTTCTTGTGTCCAGTTTGCAGGGGAAAGTGATATGCCCCAGGCTGGAGTCCACCAAGGCATCAGCAGTGCGATAGAAATTAGGAAAATGCGATACATCTTCAGCCGGCTAAGAACAACAGAATGGTTAGACCTTTTTACTGACTGATTTACCTACGAACGCAGCTAAAAGGCTTTAGTTTATTTAGTATTAAGTGTCACTGTATATCGCTGTTCAGATGTTCAAATAAAGTGGGCGGGTATTTATGAATGCTAAGGTCACACTTTCCCTAATTGATCTTGGTGAGTGAGATTGACACGATTACTGATTCATTCTTTAACTTGAGCCATCAACTAAACAACGAAAAGGGCGACTCAGCCAATATTGAATGGCTTGCATGATTTTCGTGGCTTCGTTCACTCTCCAATACAAGAAAATTTCGAGAATAGATTTGGAAAATAATTAAGACTCTGTGACGGAACTTCGAAAACTGTGCCAGAAACGAAGCAATAACTTCATGAGATCGTGTTGTTTAGGAGCTATTAGCTATTAGCCTGCCACTTGATAATGACTCACGCTGATGTAACTGTCTCAGTAATGTTGTTGAGACCGGAAAAACTAATTTTCTGCATGGCGACGAGATCATTCTTTTACCCAGCTTACATGTCAGCCGGTTACACTGATTCTTTAATGGAGCGCCCTGGACTTCAACCACCTCATCTCATTCGTACATGAGTTTTGAGGCAAACTAGACTGAATGCTATCGTCGCTGATTGAGGTGGAGGGGGATGGAGGGGGGGGGGGGCGCGATTCGGAGTAAAGACACGAGTCAATTTTAAAGATTGATTGAATTTAAAGGAATAGTAAATCACAGTTCACAGTTAAGTAGTTCTCATTAGAACACAATGAACTTAACATACCACTTGGTCTGGCTGTTAGTTAAAGTTAAACTGATCCACAATCACCTAAAGGCCAGTCGTAGAGAAAATTATTATTTGGCATGTAATTATATCTTATATCCATTTTCGTTTCAAATTAGTGTTTTGGCCGCCGAGAGAGGAAATAATTACCATGGTTTTAAATTTCTTACATCTCTTTTCATTTACACCTAATCCATGAAATAAAAACTACGTGAAAACATCGTCTTTACTTTGATGAACGCGAATTCATGATTTGATGGAAGAGGCACCTTACAGACGATCAGGTAATTTTTGATAACGAGCGTCATCGACATGATTAGTTCTCGTGGTCCATGATGGATCACTGAAGTGATCTCGACCACTTTTCATCCAGTTTCTTTAAGTGATTGACGCCAGACATCATCCTAAGACAGGCAATGGTAAGTAGGCAGACCTAAAGCTAGCCATACATCCCTTAATTTGTCATCAGGTGCTTGGTGATTGCATATACTGGTCGTTTGTCGGGGGTAAGCCGAGCTGAATTATGCTAATTTGGACGACTTACTGTTCTTATCGACTTCTTTCGTTACTCACAATTGATTTAATCGGGTTGCTGCTTGCTCGGTTCGGGACCGTATGTCATCCTGGATAACAGCATTCGAATTTAACATGTTCTAAAAACTTCTCTCATTCGATCCGCTTTAATTTAGTTCACTTCGGGTACGTGAAACAATCTGCCCGGCTCAACATAACGTTTGGTGCAAAGCCTGTCTCCTCTGGAAATGTCTGCGCTAAAACCCTGGTGCAAAGTTTAACCCCAGCTCAAAAAACAGTACTTTTCTAGTTACCATGGCCTATGAAGAGGTCAGAACCAAGACACTGACCTGGGATGGGACTAAAATACACTAATTCTGTTCTTTAAAGTCTTCTTTAATATACTCAAATTATGTGGAATATTCCTGTATATGAGATAAATTGTGGGAATAATTATTCAACCTTTGGAATAATATCACATAAGAAAATGAAAAAAATAAGTTTTTTCCATGATTACCTTCTCCATGAGACTAAGATTTCACTCCATTACTGAATTTCTTTCATTGTATTTTCACAGTCTGCATATTACATGTGCATCTGTATTTTCAATCAAGGGAAATCTAAATATGTTTTTACAACACCTGAAAGCCTAGATCACAGCCAACAATACAATAAAAAATAAATCAATCTGCAGAAGTTTCCTGACCGTCTGGCTGGCCATCAGGCAAAGCTTTCTCTTCATTTCCTGTTGTTTCAGGATATGGTATTCCACTAATCTTTAACAATTCTCTCAGGCCTCTGTTTTCTGACTCAATAGAAGCCATTTTTTCTTGCTCCTGTTGAATAGCTTCATCATCTATGTAGATTGCTTGTGCCATAACAGCAGCCATTTCACATATTTGCTCTGTCTTGGCCTGTAATTCCTGAAAGAGAAAGACAAATACATATGCTCAAATAACAGTAAAATACAACTATGAAAATAGATCATCCAGGAATGCTGGTGGTAAAAAGTGCTGGATCACTAACTTGTTGTGCCCAATTGTCAAGCTAAATAGTGTATGGTCTAGAGTTGAGGCTAGAAGCAAATTGAAGAATGAGATGACTAAGTATCTTGGGATTGGATGAAATGCTAATACTTGTTCTAATAATTGTTCATGACTGGAATATATTTGAAGCTCAGAGAAATATGTGAAATCTCACTTTTTCCACCTTCCCTGAATAGTTAAGAAAAACTCCGGTGAACCAAACTGTTCCATCTTGAAGCTGAAAAAAAGCCTTTGTTCATCACTTGTCATCCACCCTTCAAAAAGTTAATATTTGACCCTTTTACACCCCGTAAATGGAAAGGTATATTGTACACTACCTTGTAATTGTTCAGTTTCATGCAACTGGCATCAAGTCTATTTGCTTTGATAAGTTGAGAAACCTTTGGGCAAAATAAACAAAAACTTCATGTGGTTTTCTTTCATCATAAATATTAATACACAATTATAATGAAAATTGAGGAAAATGGAGATATAATAAATGATAAAATAAACTTCAACATCAACATATCTTTGTTTCTTACATTGCTGGCAGTGCTTGTAGGCAATATGAAATCCATCCAGTGTTCTGATAGGCTACCTGAGCCGGCAAAATGGGCCCATCTTGCCTACTTCAGATTGCCTGCTTTGACTTAGCTAAGTTCTATAAAATTAGTGGGGCATTTGGTAACAGCCAGTTTTGCTACTTGTCAAGTATGCTATGTTCGAGTTTGCTACATGTTCACTACTTACATGCCAAATTCGCTACTTAGTTCATCCTACCATTCTATCATTCTACTTCCATGATCTTTTAGAATCAACATCTCGATTTAAAGAAATCTGCCTTACTCAAGCTGAAATGGGTGCCACGTTTTGTATAGGTAATCACATGAGGCCAAGTACTATTAAGGATTAATTGCACGAGAGTTTTCAAAATTTTCCAAAATTGCCCGAGTTGCAAAGCGACGAGGGCAATTTGGAAAATTTTGAAAACTCAAGTGCGATTAATCCTTAATAGTATGAGGTCTCATGGGATTACTTGTTTATCAATAAAGGGCAAAATTATGCAACGGATTAGCCAATCATTAACAGGTAATCATGCCCTCTCTTGATTACTAAAAATGCCCTCGATTAAGAAAAAATGCCCTCTCTCTCAACCAATCAGCGCTCAGTAATTTTGCCCTTTATTGATAAAGCATATTATCATGGTTATCATCAGGCCCAAGCATTGCTCACGATGGAACAGTAGCATTAACAAGAGAGAGAAAGCACAAAACCAGTAAAGAATAGTCAAAATTATTAATTTTACAGTACTTTCTTTATTTTATTAAACTATATATTTCAGAGTCTATATGCACACTTAAAAGATTTCTACTCAGAGTAATGTAAACAAATTGAATCTAGGGGTACCAAATCTAGGCTACTACACACAGCACTTGAAAAGCTTGTTATGCAACATTGATTATACTCATCACCTAAAATCTTACTTTGATTACAATTATTATCATATAAAATCCTAAATCCTTCTTAACTTAAAGAAATAATGAAACCTCATTGACTCTCTATTACAACCAATCATACAAAAACAGGAGCCATATCTAAAAGGCACTACCGATTTCATCCCCTTTATTGGAAACACGCCACTCTGGATGTGAGCTCCCTCTACACAAACATCCCTCAGACAGAAGGGATTGACTATATTTGCCGTAATACAAAGATCACTATAAGCATAATTTACCAATTCCCACAAATGATTTATGGGAACTTTTGCTGCTCATACTCAAAGCAAATTCTTTCAAGTTCAATGAAAGATTCTTCATACAAACACTTGGTGTTGCTGTGGGAAATAAGACACCAGTTGCCTTCTCTGCCATTTTATGGTAGACCTAGAAAAATGACCGTTAATTGCTAGCCCCTCTAACCTTTGGTCTGGAATAGATTTCTTGATGACGTCTTTTTACTGTGGGACATTTCTGATAAAAGAGCTGACAGTTTTGTTGACTTTGCCAATACATATTCCACCCTACAATGAGGTTTACTTGCAAAATGCAACCTTACAACATTCCTGAATATTAACAAGATGGTTGAGAGCAAACTAAAAGGCAATTTGCATATGATCAGTTTAACTGACCTGGCTACTAAAAAAATGGTTGTTGGGAGTATAAATTACAGATATTGCTTGTGGTTTATGGTTAAAAGAGAAATTAAAACTGAATTATCAGAGGCTGCAAATTTGGCATGTTAGTAGCAAACATATAGCGAACTCGAAGATAGCCAACTCAACAAGTAATGAAACCTGGCATGAAGCATGCATTTGAAAGCAAATTTTGGCCTGGGAGCCAGGAATTTGATTTAACCATTACTCAATAGTTCAAATGCCTAAAGGGGGTATACAACAAGGTTCAATGATTTCTCCTTTTTTCAAAGGAAGGATATTCAAAGTTGATTTTAACAAAGGGACTTGGCTGATTGTATTAGAACTTGGCACAGTCACTCTGCTCCTGAGACTGAGAGACTCGGGTATAATCTTGTAGAGTTTGCACATATGAAATGACATATGTTTGGGATACAATAGCCAATAGTGTCTTTATCGATACACTGTACTCCAAGAGTACTGTCTACCTTTCACATCACTCACCTAGGCTTCAAAAAGTGTAATTAGAGGCTTTGGGAAAACCATCTGAGGTCCCCCAATCTACAAAAGGAAATGCTGTTTAAGACACTAACCTGATCCCTGTACTTTGCCATGATAAGCTCCAAAGCTGACTGATATTCTGCTACTGATGTCTGAAGCTCGATATTTTCTTGTTGCAATTCCCTTATACGGGCATTTTCTTCTTGACTGCCCAAGATAAGTGTGCTGCGTGGCCTGCGATTTGCCACTTCATTTAGATCACTGACCAAGTCATGGTACTGAAACACAAAATGGAACACTCATCAGCCTACACAATGAGCAACCAAACTAAGGTAAACCAGCTATGAACAAGGTAAGATCCTAGATTTAAAAAGAATTTAAACCTGAATTGATATTCAGGACTTATTTTCGATGACTTCTTTTGTGGTGTTTCTCACTGAGATGATCACCGACTAGAATATACATGTAGCAATGCTTACTTATTACGACCAAAATATTTTTTAAAATGTTCTGGGTGAATGTCCACCAAATTTGGCGGTTGTGAAAACTAACTCATTGTAACCGAACTGCTCCTTAACCCCCTCAATAACTAATGCTATAGTTTGTGGTGAATCGTAGCGAAGGTCTCGAATTTTAAGGCGAAATTTGTCATAGCTTAGTTACTGTTTACCTTCTGCAAGACTAACTAAAAGTAACCACAACGTATATAACTGTTAGGGCTAATTTACATTGCAGCTTGATGACTACAAGTTCTTAATTTGTTTTGCTAGATAATGATATGGAAAGTTCAATTTGACAATTCTACCTGCTTCATTGCATCCAATTTACAGTGAAGACCATTTGCTTGACTAATGAGTGCATCCGCTGAGCCATTATGCTCACGAAGACGACATGCTAAGCGTTTTGCGTCCAGTAATAACTGGTCCATCTCGCTATAATACTTACAAAACTAATCGTTTCAGAGCCGATTCTCCATTTTGAATCCTGTAAAACAACCGCTGACAGTTTGAATTGCAGTGCAGTAATTTATTTTAAAAGATTTAAATATTTTTAATTGCCAATTAAAAGGCATGGCGGTCAGGATGGCCGAGCGGTCTAAGGCGCTGCGTTCAGGTCGCAGTCTACTCTTGTAGGCGTGGGTTCGAATCCCACTTCTGACAGCAATTTTTTACTTTGCTCTTAGCAAGAATAAAGTAAAAATTTTATTTTCTTCTATTTAGGCTTGAACCTTCCCTAAGATATTTTGGCTTCTTGTGAAAAGTGTTGTCTCTTTTGCCAACTAAATTTAAAATTGAAGGCGTATCCATTTAAAAGGTTACATACAAACGACGCATACACCAACTCCGAGTTAACGAACAAAACACCCATATCCAGTTAGCCAGAGAAGTCGAAGAAAAAAGGAAACTACCTTTTCTGGACTGCCTGATTAGCCGTGATGGCAACTCACTACAGACTATAGTTTATATAAGACGGACACATACCGAAAGAATACTAGACGAGTCATCCTACAACCCAACGTCAAACAAAAATGGGTCCTGTGGGCTATCTAAAATATTCCGGGACTCCCACAAGGGTTACTCGGTGTTCGGCTGCGCTGCTAGATCATGTCTTTGTTACGCATCCTGAACGAATCATCGAAACCCTTGTCCCGATAGATGGACTAAGTGACCATTATCCGATCTGCTTCGTACATAAGGCTCGCGTCCCCAAGTCACCCAAATCGCATAATGACACCGTTAAATACCAGAGCTTCAAGAATCTTGACAAAGATAGATCTGTTTACGATCTAAACAATGCTCCTTGGTCGCTGCTCGATATATTCGAAAATATTGATGACAAGCTGGACACATGGGAATTGACCCAACACACACCTATTGTTGAGAAAAGAGTGAAAAGGAAAAAGTTGCCACCTTGGGTGAATGGCACTATCATGGAGCCTTCGAGCCAGAGATAAACTGGCAAAACAAATATCCTTGCGAGCGTTACGTATAAGCAGTCCGAGCTGTTAAAATGATCGCTAATGCTAAGTCACATGAGAAACGTAATTATGAAAAACATGAACAACCCAAAAAACTTTAGAAAACACTAAAAAAAAAAGCAGCACCAACACAGCTGATTCCTTGGTCACCTTCCTACATCGAAATGGATGGCCAACAAATAACAGACCACTTTCCTCAGTAAATGCCTTCAACAATCATTTCACCAACACACAGCTTTCTGTAAATTCTGCTGCTCCAGTGGACGAAAAGATTCAAGCAGACATAGATGCGAGACTTTCAGACTTTATCAAAGCCGGCATTGATGATCCTACGAAATTTAATATCCCTCTCACGACCACTAGACAAGTAGAAGAGAATATAAAGCGTATAGGGGGAAACAAAGCTACAGGCCTAGATGGTTTTGGAATTAACATTATAAAACTGGCACTACCAGTGATATCCCAAAGCTTAGCCAATATCTACAACACCAGTATCAACATAGCTGCATTTCCGAATAATTAAAAAAAAGCCAGGTTAACATCTGTTTACAAGAAAGACTCGCCTAACGATAAGAGTAACCATAAGCCTATCTCGGTCCTACCAATAATCCCTGAACCTCTTGAAAGACATGTCGCTTCATCCTACCTAAAACCTGACAAACAAAGGCCTATATAGCAAGCAGTCCGCCTATCGTCCAAAGCACTCCTATGAAACTGGCAGCTCTGTTGAGCCTCACAGACAACTGGCTAAAAGCTAAGGACAACAGCAAGTTCGATGGGCGGGGTACTTTTGGAACTTAGCAAAGCTTTTCACCCATTTTGGTATCTAAGGTTGTTAAATAACATGCCAGCCAACGAACCTTGAGGTGGTTCAAGTCTTGCTTGCGCGATCGTACTCAGACTTGCGCCATTTCTGCAGTATTATCTGACTCACTTATGTTAGCACAAGGCGTCCCACAAGGATCAATTTTGGCTCCCCGTACTATTTTCACTTTACATTAATGATCTGCCTGTGTGCTTATCAGCTTCGGACGTCGAAGTACATGCCAATGATGCAACGTTATCCAACACAATTTGAAAAACAGTCTAAACAAAGCTGGCACTTGTTTTTCATCAAATCAAATGGTTCTTAACACAAACAAAACAAACCACTTACTCATCGCCACACCACAGAAACTGAAACATATGAATCAGCCAACCTTCATTCTTTTCTTAAATAGCAACCACGTAGAAGAAGCCAATCCGATGAAACACTCTTGGTGTCAAGATCGACAATCACCTCGGCTGGCATAAGTACATAGAATACTTAATTGGGAAGCTGAACTCCAGAATTTATTTACTTAAAAGAGCCAAGGGTTACCTCAACCTCCAATGCGGAATATTCAGTACACTCGTGAAGCCTATCTTTGAATACAGCTGCTCGGTTTGGGGTAACCCCCTAACGACCACCTAAAATCGGGGATTGTCTGGACTATTTCACAAATTATAGAATTTTTGCAAAAAATACCTAAAGTTATAATGCGCGATCTTCTTTAAATAATACTTTGGCTGTAGCGAAATGCCGGTGAAAGGCGGGTCTCCGAACATTTCATGCGGGTGTGACAATCTTAAGAACATAACAAATGAAAGGAAGTTTAAGAAACATTTAATCAAGAGATTCCTAAACATTAATTAAAGTTGCGAACACTTTACAAGGACGTTTTAAGATAACTTTTTGGCGTAATTTTTTTCCAACTAGCTATTTTTAACTTTTCACCAACTTGACTGCTCATGATATTTTTTACATTGTATAATCAATTATAATAGTCTTTTTTTCCCTCCTTTTAGCCCAAAACATAAACAACTAGGTCCAGATGTAATTGTGATAGCCATTAAAGTCTATTTTTATTTTATTTTTCGCAAAGCCACGACTATCAGGACTAGTCGGAGCAGATATCGAAAAAAAAATTGAGCTTCGTTCAACCATTGCCATAGAAAAGGTTTGACACTTGAATCTGGTAGAGGAAAAACTCCTGATCAATGTGAGGTAGTTTGAATTGTGGTATACGTTTCAACCTTGCTTGCTCGAGCCGTACGGGGGTATATTGGTCCTCGGTCGTTTCTGTAAGGACTTCGTTGCGCTCGGTCCGTACTGCTACTTCGGCCAATTGTTAAACGATAAAATTACAATTATAGTTAATCTACAATATCGTAAGGGTTTCCTGTATTGGTGTTGGAAAGAAAAGGAATGGAAATGTTATCTTATTCTAAGTCACTTAAAGTAAATTATAAAAAGGGCAGGTTGATTACTTCGTACTCCTTCTTGGTGGTCTTATCTTAAAGGTCGAGTTTGATCACGTTCTTCTTGTGAGTTGGCCACGCTCTCCTAGTGAGTTTAATCACGTTTTCTTCGTTGTGATCGTGAGGTTGATATGGAACTCGTGATAAGCCATGTTCTTAAATAAGTTAATTTGTTAGTCCAGGAAGAGTAAATCTCCCTGGTAATAGGTCGCGTTCGACACCTTCGGGTTCCCAGAGGTAAACAGGTGATGCCCCTCCTGTTTCGCAACAAGAAGCAATTTGGGGGCGGTACTTGTGAGCGCCTTTCTTCTTTAACTCTTGTGACCAAGATGTTGTTATGTAACAATCTTTAAAGGTGATTTTCTCTTAAGATATAAATATAATATATATAAATAATACTCTACACCAAGGTTATTTGTAATTTTTATATTGTCGATCTCGTTTCTGTTCTGGCCGATCTCAACCGTAAAGATATGAAAATTAGGGAAGAAATTGATTTTGTAACTGCGTAGACAACCCTAAGGTGCTTACTCAGTATGTGGGAACTATAATGCGTAGTCAAGCGTGATTCGCTAGTTGAGATGGCACGATGACGACACAAGAAGATTGACGGCTTAGAAATGTCATCCGCAGTGACACCTTTATAAGCGGAGACTCTAGTTTTCCCTGATATATTGAAGCTAGTCCCCATTGTAACAACTTGAGAAGGAAAGTAAATAAAGAAGGATCAACCAAACCACAAACGAGTGTTAGAGGAATCAATTCTAGCACAATATTCCTTAGTACGGCCCTCATGCTCGGTCATTGAGGCGGTCATTAGCCATCTCCGGTTTGGTGAATAGTTGTTTATTATTTGATCGGTGATCGACAGGGCTTTTGCCGTGTTTTCCTGTTATGTATGAAGGAAAGACCTTTACAAGGAGGCTGAAGGCGATTGGATTCAATTATGGTATTCACTTACAGCTGATTACAATAGATATTAGGCTAACTGTGCCAAGGAAAAAACGGTAACGCCAATCCAGTTTTAATCAATTTGAAATTAAATATCACTAGGGCTTGAGGGATAATCTGGAGACAGTTGTGAAGGTGTTATACATGTATGCAAAAGAAAAAACATATTGCAGATGATTTCATTTATTCCAAAGTATTTGATCCTTACAGGCCGGATTTTCTAGGTTTTTCATTTTTCTATATTGCCATTGCCCAGTTAATCAAAGAAATCTAAGTAATTTTTTTTTCTATTTTTTGGTCCTTTTAGTTTCTTAGAAGATGAATGAATCAATACATCAATGTAAGAAAATTATGGATTGGAATACATAGATGCCACCGAAAATACACAGACAGTATAGTTGAGTTGAGGCTTTAAACCTGGTAGAAAATTATATGTAATCTGAATTAATTAATGCTTACATATTACAGTGTATCTGAATTCCTTAACCTGTAGAATAAGGTCTCAATTTTCCAATTGTTTTATGAAAGGAAGTGGTATGATTTTCGTAGGGTGTCATGGGTGAAACTAGCCACCCCTTACTGTTTCAAATAATCTCTCTATACTTTGAGATTTGACCGCAGGTAACCGTTTACGGAACTTTCTATGAAACTAGAAAGAAGAAGGTACACATCAGATTAAATTTATTAACCTACTCGGCTGGTGACATAAAAAAGTCAGATTCATCCAGCAGATCATTAATGTAGCGTTAATTTTTTCGCGTACCACGATCTT